GTTAGTGAGCTGATAAATATTGCTGTTTTGTCATCATTATATTTGATTTTCCAACAACTATAATGCGATTATAATGTCTGACGATGTGATTGATGTCATCGTTGGAGATCTCTCCATGAATATTTTGTCTCCAAATAGAATAATGCTTTTGTTTTTGAACCAGGCATCCCAGAGTACTGAGGTCTTCTAAATTTTCTTGGAGGGCGGCCCGTATGACATGAAAGACAACCTCGTCTCAGGATTTTGGACCTACCTGAATGATTTGTTGTGTAAGATAGATGTGTTATATGCATTGTTGATGAAACTAGCAAGGTGGTTGGAATGTGCCTTCATTGAATACCTATTCGTTATTCTTCTTCTTTTACCTTTACGGTCTTCCTATAATGCCCTCGACTTCATTCGTAAAGAAGGTGTGCTGCTACTGACGTGTTAATTTTTTTCCCCCCAACAATACAACATACGTAAAACTCAGAATATAGCAAACATGTTGAAAGTAATATTCTAATTTCTAAGATACGAATATTCATTATCTCTTCTTGGTCGACTTTAAAGATATTTTACCAGTCAAGTAGAATCTATTTGTTCTGTTTATATTTTCCTTCGGCCATCTAATTATTTCCACAATATTTGTGTAGTCAAAGAAGACTAGTAAGCTTCACGACATTTTCCCTCGCGTGCATGTTGCGAAGAAACTTTCTTTGCCGAAAGAAATGTCATCTGTTCTAATTAGGTGCCCGACAAATTCAACTTGAAATTTAGGATGTAAAACTACATTTCTCCTCACTGCAACTTTTCAGGAGTAAATTATAAATTATTCACTCTTAATTTTGAGAAAAGAATTAATTTATTGTATTTGTTTCAAAAACCAATTATTTAGTTCTTGTGGGTTTTTTTTTTAAATCATAACTTAATTTTATTTTATTTTTTTGCTATTTTTCAATTTATTTTATTTTTTGTTTTAAAAAATAGAAAAAGTAAAAAAAAAATAGTAAAAACATAGAAGAATTGATGAGAAAAAAATTAAATTTTATAAAATAAAACAACGTTAAATTAAGCACAAGTAAAAACGGTAAAAAAAAACTAAATAATTAATTTTTCAAACAAAAAGAATTAATTGATTTGTTTCTCAAAAATAAAGAAATTAATTTATAATTTATTCAACTTTTCAGTCTAAACTTATACATAGAGCCCAAAAAAGAATAATTTTATTTTTATTTTTATTTTTTAAATGGGGCTATCAAATAAGATAATCAGTTCTCGTATTATCCCGTTAATGCCGACCAGGCAAACACCAATGACTATAGGATCACTGGATTTGAATGTTAATGTATTCTTTGAATTATTTCATTCAGAGAGTATAACATATATCAGTATTTTATTTTATTGGTATCAAATTTTGAATGTGGCTTGATCTTAAAATTCTGAAAACACATCAGGTGATCATTTTATCAAACTAACAGGCAAAAATATTCATATCCCTGCAACTTAAAACTTGGCTGGAACCAAACAGATGATACTGATTTTTGTTGTTCTCTTTTAAGTCTATTTTATTCTCATCGGAAAATGAAAAAACATAAAACTATTATTATTATTATTATTATAAGACATGATCCTACAATAATATCTTTAATTTACTTTCTGAAATTCGTACAAGGAGAGGCGGCTTTTCTGAACTCTGATATCTTCATCGAAAGCGAGAGCACTTAGATGGTCTTTGTGAAAAGTGAAATTTTATAATAATTATTTCATAATTAGTGATATATATAATAATTATTTTATAAATTTATTTTTTAAAAAAAAGATAGATAAAAAAATAGAAGAGAGGAAATTAAAAATAAAAAATTGAATCAATATGAAAATCTTTTTATCACTTTTGATAGGTCTTGATGTAATTTTTTTCTCTCTCCATAAAAATAAATTTATGAAATAATTACTATACATGTCACTAATTAAATTTTAAATATTATAAAATTTCTGGTGTGAATGTAAGAAGCCACTGAATTGGAACTTGCCAATAATTTTGACATTGATCTCTCTTTAGTTTATGACCAAAGAATTAGTGGAGAAAGTTTATCAGAAGAAAGGGCATACCAAAAGCAAAAAAATCATTTTACTGACCCCACATAAAGAGAGTGATATATACCGGTTTCTTTAAAAAAAAAATTCCATATATAGCTACATTACTACAAAATAGAATTTTAACGGCAATTGTTCCATAGCTATACTAATATTTGAATAAAATGCCATTGTAAGTATATTTATAATGGAATTTTTAATAATTTTCTTTACTATTATGTTCTTTATATCCCACAAAAAAGTCATTTTTACTCTTCATATATATTAAAAAAATTATTAATTGTTATCTAATATTATCATTTTTTGTTTATATTTTCTTGTTTTAAAAAAATTGTATTTGAACAATTTTTTACAAAATAAACTTTAATTAGGTATCTTTTAAATATATCAATTAAAATTTTGATTAAACACATATTTTGATACAGATATAAATAGAAAAATAAATAATTTATCTAAGACGGAAAGAGTATATATTTAGTGATGTTTATTTAACTTTAGTGCATGGTTAGCGATATTTATTTAACTTTAAAAGTATTTATATTAATTTCACTAGAAATTATGATATAACTTTACTGACGTTGAATCTAAAAGTATTTATTTCAAAAGCCATTAAAATTTAATATCTAATTTTGGTAAAAATATACCATAACGGCCATTCAAACTAAGAAATACTGCTAAATACTGCTAAAGATATATATAGTAATAGCAATTATGAAATGTTGTTATAGTGTATATTTATCATAGCATTTATTTGAATGAGTTTTTTAAACAAATTTCATTAAAGTTAATTTTGTTGTATTGCTAATAGCATGTGCAAGTTTTTATTTAGGTAGCTGTATATAAATCCTCAAATTAGCTAAGAACTCTGTATTTTTCTTTGTTTTTTTTTTTTTTGTTTTTATGTCATTGGAATCTCTTTACTAGTCAATTTTAATGTTTGATACATTAGAATTACTTCGACAATACTTAATTCTTCCGATGGCTTAACTTTGGTGACTTATTTGGATGTGTTAGATGTAGGTTTAAGCCTTTCTGAACGAAATTTTATTGGGTTAGTGTTTCAAGATATTCCAATATTGTTTTGTTTGTTTTAATTGTCTTTTTTTCACTAAATATCAAATAAAAAAAATTGTCACAGATTAATATCATGTGTGCTGTTACCTGAAAATTTGAACGAAATGATGAAATTAAGTCATAAAATATTGAGGGATGACATGAATGAAAAATTTAATAAAAAGACATTATTAAAACAAACAAAATAGTATAATGATATTCTGAACGATACATTAATCCAAATTTCATTGGGGATGAAATGATAATTAGGTAGCATGTGAATTGCCCAACTAACTAGGCTAATTTTTCAAATAATATGTATATACACCCAAGTATCCCTACCCCTCGTTGAAAATAAGACATATTATATTTGGAGCAAGAATAATAAAATTTAATTCCTTTCAACAAGTATAATTTCAGAATTCAAAATTTATAAATTAATAAGAAATTCATTTGAAACAAACTTGTTTATCACTGAATTAACAACTTGTTAATTTAGATAATATATTTTTTCTTTTAATTACAATCGTCTATTTCAAAATCAAGTTATCGAATAATTTTCTTTCCAAGTATTGTAATTAATTCAACGTCAATGTGCACCATTTTTCAGGACTAGAAAAATGTTGTAACATATGGTTCAAAGTTCGAAGTTGTTGCCGACAAACCATGCTATGGTTATCAATTTTTCAAACCATTGTGAAATTTTCTTGGGAAAATTAGCTCGTTGTTAAATATTGTCAAGTTTGTGCTTTGTCCTTTCTAGAAATAATTTTTTTTACGCATGATAGACATGTTTAATATTATTTTTCATGATAAGGTATTTCTGATTGATTTTTACAAGTGAAACGAGAAAAAGTAACAACATCTGTTGAAGAATTCTTCCTTGTTGTTTAATATTACATACTGTAATTTATAAGTTGGTGACGGGTAAAATTCTGTCGGCCATTAACAATATCTGTAACTTAATTAATTAGTTATTTATTTATTATTATTTGTAAGGTTGTTGTTTTTCAATCCCGCAATGAGACATGTCAAATCAGATGATAAGAGCCATACAAGTTGCAAATTTTCCTATTTGAGTTGAGAGGCAATTATAGCATCAATGGAAAATGATTTGTAATCAAACTTTGATCTCTGAATTTCAGGTCATCATATGTATATAAGTGATAAGCAGCATTCAGTTTCAGTTTTGGGTGACCTACAAAGTGATAGAAGCCATGAATGTAGCTTCTTTTATGCTTCCATAAATGTCTCTCTCTTTTGATGACCCGACCTGGCTCCGATTATTACTTTCCTTTATAAATAAAATTGGAAAAATCTAGCCATGCATCGAGGCAAAAATTGTTTGTTTCACATTTCCATGCGCTAACAAAATATGATATGACTGAATTTGTCGAGTCATGCTTTATCCAATCTCATGTATCAATGCTATCCAAGAAATTAAAGTAAATATAAAGGAACGATCAACAGGTAGTTGATCTTTAACTGGTTTCAAATTGAAGTTTAATTAACTTAATTGAGTTGAACTAAGCTGTACTGTGAGCAATATAAATATTGTAAACCGTATAGTATTGTGTGTGTGTTTATATATATATTGTACATGACAATGTACAGATCTTGTATAATATCGTATATATTATACATTTTCAACAAGAGAAACATATGTATAACTTCACTGAGTCATGTAGGTAACAAAAGGGGGAGGGCTTGTGCCCATTTTAACACCCTTTGAAGTTCATGACAATGTACACATCTTGTTCATGCATTACTACTACAACAACAAAATAAAACCTCAAACTTTTCTGTATCTAAGCTAGCTATTAAGCAGCTGATTACTTAATTATCCTTGATTATTCTACATGGCACACATTTTATTTGCATGACTGAGATAGTAAAATGGTTGCACTTTCACTGATCTCCGCTCTCTTTCTCTTCCTCTCCCTCTCTCCCTCAACTTCCAATCTCACACCAAATAACTTTGGCCTTTCATCTTCCTTTTCCTTCTCCAAATGTGCATATTTAGCCACTAAATCAAGAAGCTCCTTGCATTTCCTTTTCATGCTTGTAAGCTCAGTGCTCAAGACCCCATTTTCTTTCTTGAGTCGTTTGTTTTCATCAACTAGAGTAGTGTATTCGGACGATGATGAAGTGGATGATGATCTTTGATCTTCTTCAAAATCTTGCGCTGTGGCTTGAATTGCTGCGTTAGATTGTTGCTTGTTCGACCATGCTCTTCTTCGACGAATTTGGCATAGTAGCTCTCTTTCACCCTTCCGAAACATGTCATTGCAAAACTCCCACCGGCTTGTTGCAACTTTTCGGAAACCCTATCCATAACAATATATAACACCAATCAAACATATTACGGGAATTTGTTCCATGACTCAATGAAGGCGAAACAAAATTATCACAAACTTGGAAAATTGTTTAATTACGTACTATTTTTTAGGGCCTAGCTAATTCTGATTAATTAGAAGAAGAAAACTAAAGAGTGTCTTTTTTTTTAATTACTAAGAAAAGATCCGAATCTAAAAAACATCTTCTCGAAGAGGACGACAAAAGTGTCAATTAAATATATATTTAGAGAGAGAGATAGCTTCGTGACGAATAATTCAAGATTAAATAAACGAAAGGAAAATTTTCTAGCTTAATCACACGTACTCATGATGGTACTATAGAATTTACACTACTCTATATTTTATTCAGCTATATATTTTTTTTAACCCTCCTCCTCTCTCTCTCTTACTTTTTCTCCTTGTCCAACAGTTGGAATATTAGGCCAGTCTCTGAAATACTTTATATAACCCATGTTGGACAAAAAAAAACATGTAGTAGCTAGCTTCTAGTTTTTTTTTCCTTTCTTTTCCGTAATAAAAATAAAATAAATAAGATGCGTGTAAAAACAAGGCATGAAACTTCTGACTTACTATACTTTGAATTACCAAGCTCTAAATTCTAATCAAGTCGAGGAAAATTAATTGCTCAATTAATTAAGACCAAGTCACTATAGAGCAAGTTAGGTTAGACAGGAACATTTAACCTATATATATTCTTTCATTCAACAACCCAGAAAAAGATAAAAAGAAGGGAAAAAGAAAAAAGAAGCCAAGAAGATGATTCAAATTCTTAATTAAGAACTAAGTCAACTAAACCAAAAACATAAATTTAAATTAAATAGATAAAATATCATGCAGAATAAACAAGCAAACTTTCATGGTTAATCGTATATACATACATAAGTATTGAGTTGCCGGACAAAGCTAGAGAAATTGCTATGCTTGAAGAGTGTTGGCAGGAGATCACGAGCAAACTCTGCCGGCTGCCACACCACAAACCCGGTCCCTTCCCCGTTCCACGATATCACGTCATCGGTCGCCGGATCCTCCACCAACATGTAGGTTTTTAATAAAAATGGTGGTGGGGTTGATTTTCTAACATATTCCAATAAACCCTTGTCATTTGCCATGAAATTTTTTTTTTTTTTTTTGTTAAGAAACTACAAAGAAAAAAGAAACAAAGAGAGAAAGATATTATTGAAGGATACAAGATTTTTAAGGAGAAGAAGCAGAGAAGAGAAGAAGGGCAGTTAAAAACTCCCAACCCCAACAATAGAAACCCAACACGACTCCACAGTTCATGAGAAATGCAAGGGCTTTTCCTTTCTCTTTTCTCTCTCTTTGAAGAAGAAAGAAATGGTTGAAACGTATTTTCTAAGGCTAAACTCTCCTTATATATAGTCAGAATAAATCATGTAATACAACACCACATTATAATATGCTTTTATAGTGTGACTTTTTGTTTCATTGTTTGATCCATATATCATATGCATGTCGGTCCAAATTTCACTATTATGGAATGCATGTTGTGGACCTTAGGATCACACCACTCATTTCTTTTCTTGATGGTTAGAGCAATCACTTTGACTGGTCAATCAAAGACAACAACAAAATTTTTCTGCTGTTTCTAGCAAAATTAATTCTTTGTTCACACTTTGATCAGATTTGGTGAAAAACTAATTTTTTTTTTTTATTATTGTTTGAATTTTAAGGAACAGTTAATTGGTTTTTAAATTCTTGTTCAAAAAAATCTATTAATTGGGACTTGTCCTGACTAAATGATTTACAGGAATATTAAAATTAATGACCAAAAATTTGCGACATAATTAAAATTTAATGTCAAGATTACAACGCTTAATTAGATGTATGGATGATTCCTATGGAGGGTACTTGAGATGATAGAGGCAGGTAAGGAGGTTATGTTTGATGAAATTACTTCATGGTAACTCAACTATATATAATAATACTAATTTGGTTCTTTTAGGTGTGATGAGACTTTCCACATTCTTTATTCTCCATCTCATTAACGTACCACATCGTCTAATTGAATTTCTGTCCTTTCTTTTGGGGTTTTGAGCCCTTTTCCTATCAATAAAAGCATGATCCAGTTCTTTGTGGAATTTTTGAGGGAAAGAAGTGACGTCTTTCTGACTTTTTGTTTTGCTATTTCATTTCTAAAAATTTGCTACACCAAAGATGTCGATGTTACTTTCCAAAACAAGCGCGTATATACCCATGCGCTTCACTCGAAAAGGGACTTGTTCGCTGTCGATAACAGGGGAAGGATCAACGAGGTTAAACTTTAATTACAGGGTAATTGCTTAAGCAGAGCAGAGCTGGTTGTTGATGGTTTTTAAAGGCATTAACTTGTATTTCACATCAATCATCCAGTTTTATTGTTTAAGCAGCTTCTCCTCTGACTGAAATTCATGTATTCAATTGTAATTTCATTTGTATTTTATTCTTGGAATTTTAGGTTGAAAAGGATATAATAAAGTACTTTTGTTGTATTTATTAAGTTTAGTCTCTTTATTGATGAAAAGATTTTCACTTTGATAAAAACAAGTTTTTTTTATGAAAAAAAAAATTGACTTAAGTAATAATTACATGTATTTGTTTCGGGTAGTATCATTATGCTCAAATTTAAATATAAATAATATATTCAACATCCGTTTATAAAAAGATTTGACCTACTGTACATAAAAAACAGCTTGCATTGTTTTTTTTTTATATATGTATATAACTTCATTAAAAAATCAAGAAGTCAGTAGAAGGATGCCTTTCTTTTTATTTTTATTTTTTATTTTATATTGATGAGGAATGGATTCTAATTTGAAATTTATTCTCTTATTTAGTAATTTACAACGTTATCTAATGGCATTGGCGCGTACACAAGGTGCTCGGCGGGTACAAAAGTGAAAAGACATTGACAAAGAAAAGTGGGAAATTCAGGGCATTTGGACATATTAGAAGGTTCTTATTTTGGTTGGGGGAGGCTGAGCTTTCTTGACTTGATCTAAAAAAAGCCCTCCTTTTTTTTCTTTCTTTAATTGTCCTTCGTTAAAAACATAACTCAAATTGTGTACGAGTTTTGTCATGGCTCACGACCCCAGTACCCTCACCAACCACGGCTCACCCTTTTCCCATTAGCTCACCACATGACCTGATCAGGATGGCATGAACTGTGCCCTAATGCTCATAGCATCAGCATAGCTCTAGAGTCCACAGCATGTTCCACATGGATTGGACATCCATACAAGTGAAGGGAAGAATTTTTGGGTTCGATTAGACCCATTGGGATCGAGTTTTGCATTTTCCCTCTTTAAGAAAACAGGTCATGCGAGCCGGTCACTGAGGATATCTTATAAGCAATTATGTGGCATATGGTTTCCAGAATTTTTTATTTTTTATTTTTTAACTTTCTATGAATTATGATTGTAGATGAAAATTATAATTATCTAGAATAATGAGATATAAATTCATCATGCATAAACCTTAAAACTTTATTTTCTTATAATTTTTTTAAAACAAACATATTTTATTTATTTATTCAGATTTTTTTAAGAAAAATACTACGGCACAATAAATAAATAAATAAATGTTTTTTTATATCTATCTTAACGATGAAAAAATATAATAACTTACAAATATGTCTTAGTATTATTTTTTTTATTGTCACTTAGAAATAGAGAGATAATCAGATCCTTTCTTTTATAATATTAACTAAAGTTTTCGTTAAGAATTAATCATGTATTATGATTAATTATAGGTCATAATTAATTAAATACACGTTAAGCATCATGTATTATAATTAATTAGATGCATTTTAAATATTATGTATCATGTGAATCATAATTAATTTTATATTTTAGATACATATCCTAATTAATTTTACACTATATGCATTTGTTGCTTCATCACATGTTAATAATGAATGCTTCATACAAGATAATGAATAATATTAGCATAAAAAATTCTATTGAAGAGTATACATCATCGGATGGTTTTTCTAAAATATTATTTTAATTATTTCATTTAAGAGAAATTGATTTCAAAATATCCATAAATTATTATTCTATGTATAGATGCATAATTAATTTTTAATAAAATCAATGTTGCGATTATTTGTGTGTGTGTGTATATTAAGTGGGTTCAAAGTCTATAATATAAAATGGAAAACTTTAAGAATATAATTAGATTTTTTTAAAACAACTAATAATTAGGATTCATAAATAAAACATATAGTCACAATTAAGAATTAAATTTTTATAAATTTCTTAGCCTTACATGCATAGGACGTTTTAACCGAATCAAATTGAGATAGATTAATCTCGGTTCATGAAAGTGGACTCTTGAATATTACCTTATTATAAATAATAATATGGAAATAGTGTAGGTAATAAGTATAGACAAGTAGAGTCGTAAATGGATCGGATTTTGATCCGAAAGCAATTAAATGCTTATCCAAGTCCGATTATAATTTAAATTTGTTAATCCGTTTATTAAATTGATCAAATCCAAATATATCTTGATTCGATCCGATAATAATCCTTTCTAAAATTAAAAATAATATTCTTATAATAAATATAATATTTTTGAAAAAATATATAAATATCAAATTAGGTTGAAATTTAGAAATTATTTATTATAAAGCTCAAATAAGACATATCCTTCAACGACGATGATCGTATTTTTAAAAAATCACACATAAATTTATTTTTATTTTCTTAATTCAATTTTGTGAAAAAAAATATAAATTGACTTACATATATATTTTCAAGACATGGTGTTATTATATTTGCCATCATTCTATTTTTGCCACTACGTGGACAAGAATTAATAAAGATTATTTATTATTCATTTCTTTTAGTTTTATTATACTTTCTACATAGTTCAAGACAAACTTTTAATGAGATTATTTGATTTGTACTTTTGAATTGTTTGGCATTTTGAATTTTTACAAAATCGATAAGTGAAATATTATGTTAATATATTTTATTATACATGTAGTGATTAAAATATATTTTATATTTGAGAAATATATGAAATGTAATAATCATAATTTTTTTTATAAAAATCAAATAATAAACTCGATAGAGCTCCAAATTCGATTCGAGTTCGTTAAGATTCGGATCCAATTTCACATTTTTAAAACTTGATCCGAATCCATAAGATTCAATCCGATTCATTTCACAAAACAAATCGAATCCGGATCTACTATAATCATATCCAAATTTGATCCGTTAATAGCCCTACAAACGAGCAAGACAATACACTTTGATAAGTATCTTCTACTCTTATAGTAATTTCTTTTATAGCATAGATCTCTACATTTTATTATATAGCCTAAAAAAATCAATAAACATTCAATGAATAATATATTTATTGTCATATCGGCCTCGCGAGGGTTGTGAACGAGAAGTCGTCACTTAGCTAATTAGGAAGAACTAGAAAATCTTAAGTGTATTGGTTTACATATATATCCGGGTAAATGATCGATTATGTATGGAAAAGATATAATATTATCGTCATCTCATCCTATCTAAGGTAGGTTGCATTGTTTGCCTATAAACGTAAAAGTTTAATTTTTATTATGTTATACTTCTATGCCTATTTAAATGAGTTTATCTTGTAAAAATATAAAACAGGATAGTTCGGATGTAAAACATGGTAGTTTTAGGGTTCAAGTCGGTCTAAGGCCAATATCCCTTACCTAAAGGGAAAAGGTGAGAGAAGTTCGAATTTCTACTAATCTTTAATGAACATGACCTATTATCGATAAATAGATAAGTTTTTAAAGATGAATAACTTTTATTAGCATGAGTAACAAGTCATTGATAACCTCACTCATATAAATAGAAAGCCATCGATGACTTCGAGTCATGAATTTGAGAGGTTATTGACAACTTCGTCACACAAGTGGAAAGTTATCGATCACTTTATTTGGCTCGAGCATGGAGTGGATAATCTGGTTTAGAAGCCACTAATGGCTTCGTCACACAAATTGGACGCCACTCGTGGCTTCATTCCAAACAAGTAGACAGATCAAGTATAATAATCTCAAAACCATTAGCAGCTTTTTCATATAAATGGGAAGCCACCATTAGCTTCGTTCTAACAATTCAAAATT